AATCAACAAAATTCTATGGATTTACAAATGGAGACTGCCAAGACCCATAAAGTAGAAATTATTGTATTAAAAACAATGGCCAAGTGCTTACACAAATCCTTGTGAAGTATGTATTTTCACACTAATTTTTCTGCTTCCTCTTATTTTATCATTACTTTACTCTTAGGTTAATGGACTGTTTCTGCATTATTACACAAGCATGAAGAAACAGGGTTACCATTGATTCGAAGCTTGGTGAGTTTATCCATGACACAAATCAGTCCTAAATCATGGCAATTTAGAGCGTTCTAAACCAGAAACTCTCTCTTGTACCAAAACAGAATTGAAGTTCTAAGGAGCCTTTTAGTTTAATGTTAATTTTATAGTTTTACTTTTTGCTTATGCTCTAATTTGAAAAGTACATTTGAACTGAAGATATGCTTGGCAGGATTTACCCAATAAAACAAATTTAAGTTCATTAATGGGGGCATTAATTAAAACCTTATTACACTTCTTTTTAAAATTAGAATTCCCTATATTTTGAATGCTAACTATATCTATTTAAAGTTCCTCAATTGTAAATTTGAGATCATTTGACCCTGCTGTTTCATATTTTTGTGGATACTAAAGATGAAAATGTATGATTTAATGACAAATATTGACAAAATATTGTAGGATGTAGAACTGCAGATCTTTCTTTTTATTTTCAAATTAGAAGTATTTAGGAAATACTTATTTTAGAAATTCTTTTCCTCAGACTGTGAATTATATGTTTTTCATTTGATCAAATTAAATTCCAAAATCTGCAATTGTTCTTCTCATTTTAGAGGTTTGCAAATTTTATCTTTACTCTCCATCTGCTTCCTATCTTCCAAGACTATTTCAAAATATTTTATTATTTTTTCTTTCTTCTTTAATCTTCTTTTTCTTTCACGTTTAAGTCTTGTGTGTTCTTTACCTCTCATTTTACAAGTGTTCTTGTTGGAAGACAGAATAAGCTCAATTGGTCTATATGACCCTTTTTATAATTAAATATTTGTGACTTACCTCTTTGCTTCAATCTAGAGAAGTTTATGAGATATTAAGTGTTGTCCTTCATCCCAGCAAAGTTGTGGTGCATGGTGTTCATGAATCCAATAGCAATCAGTATGAAGGCACGTGGACATTTGGTTCTGGAAACCTCAATGGGCAAGAGAGAGCTGAAAGTCCTAGGCAGACATGGGGAGCAAATCTACAGTGTTAGGACAACATCTACTAAGTCCCAGCTTTTGGGGGACTGGAAAGCCAGAAAATATCATATAACACAAACAATTCCTTTTATGCTCTATGCATTCTATGTGTAACATATCTTGTGCATAATTATTTCACTAAATAATTTCTGAATTTTTTTTTGGTTTTTTGAAACAGGGTTTCTCTGTGTAGCTTTGGAGCCTATCCAGGCACTCGCTCTGGAGACCAGGCTGGCCTCATCCTCACAGAGACCCGCCTGCCTCTGCCTCCCAAGTGCTGGGACTAAAGGCATGAGCCACCAAAGTCCTTATTTTCTGAAATTTAACCATTGATAATTTTATGACATTGCATTCCATTTGTATTCTGTAATCTAATAAATTGAGTGTGACTTATATATATATATATATATATATATATATATATATATATATATATTTCAGCCCTTTCAGATGCTGTTAACTAATGAATAGTTTGCACCATAGAACCGTATCAATCATTTAACTGAGCACAATATTTTTGAACTAGACAGAGCTTTGCTGATCTAGAAAATCAGGGCCACACATGGGACAAGCAGCATCTGGGGTGTTGCAACCTGCAAGAGTGTCCAGATGGATCTCATCCTCCTGTTTCCCTTTAAACCATTCATCTCAATAGCAGAGACAACCTGCACAATCATCTCCAAAAGGATGAGCTAGGGGAATTGTCCTTTCTCACCTTTCCACTCTAGTACTCAAACTTCTGGCCATGCAAATCTTCTCTTGTGCCTTCTGCCCTTTGGTATGACATACATTTCTAGAGGATTCTCAATACCTGTTGCTGACTCGGCTAACTCAATTTTTAACCTAATCACTAAAGACAGCTACCAGAAATGAGACAGCAATTTGAAAAGAAATGAAAAGAAACAGGATTTACAGAGAGTATATTCCCATGTAGAAGAATGAGCAACATCAATAAGGAAAAGTGGTCATCTGAGTTGAAATTTAAAAAGAAGGAAGGAATATAATCTCGTAGGATGTGTACTTTCTTCCTACATAGGGGCTTGGGAAATACTGAGTGTCAGAGTACAAGGAACTAAAGGTCAGATAATCTGGAACAGAAACTCTTTGCATGCATCTATTTTTCTAATCTTCATTGTTCCGTTTCAGAGAAACGAAAATAGGAAATAGATAATCTGAGAGGTAAATTAACATGCCCAAGGTCACAGAGCTAATAAAAGCCTCAACTAAAGTGTGTGTTATTCTGGTTTCAGAACTCTGAGCTAACTGAATATGCTCTGAGTGCTCCCAGGAGCTCTGGGAAACCCCTGAACACCCTCAAGGTACCTGTGGTGTGCATCCTGAGGGAGTGTTGCATACTGACAATTGTGGTTTTGTCTGATCCCACTATACTTATTAAGCTATATAATCTACTAAAGACTTAGAGTTACAGAGATGAGAACAATTTGAAAATGTGTATACATGACTCTGGTAGATGAACTGAAAAGAAAATGAAACAAAATCAAGAAGAAATATTGAGTCCTTATGGGAGACAAAGATGAGTAGCTACATTGACAATGAGGATGATCAAGAAAAGCCATTGAGTACAGAAATTAAACTTTACTACTAGAGTTCAGGGCCCCTTATACACAGGATAATTATAAATAAACCAGCCAATACCACAGTTCTCTTAGCCTCAATTATTTCATTATTAATAATATACAGTCAGGTTTATCTTTCCAAAAAACACTTCTATTTTCATCAATTTGAGATTCTAAAACTTTTGGCAAATTACTATTCTCAACAATTTAGAATGCAATGGTTTCATTCCTGTGTTTAAGGTCATCTAGAATTTAGCTGCATACACTCATAGCCCCATAATAAACTTTCCTTTCTACTTACATTACTATATTTACAATCAAAAGAGGCCTAGTTAACCAATTAACTTCTCTCCCTGCCTCCCATTTGTTCCCCCATGTATATCTAGTTAGCTGCAGGCTAACTATTCTCATACTTTTCCCTCTTCTCTCATGTCTTCTACCTCTATCCATGGATGTCTTTTTACCAAATTCACACCGTCACTACAAACATGCAAGCTAGAAGAGTCAAGCATCAAAAGCGGGCCACTATCTCTATTGTATCCATCTTCACACAACACAGGGGTGAGGGGACTAGCCCTCCATTTTGTTGCTCTCTCCACCTTGTTGCTGCCTGCTGTGCTCCACTGTGGTCCTTAGTTAATGCCACACTAGTTAACAGGCCTGACAGCATCTTTACATCCTTTGCGCTTACTCTCTTCGGGCTTCATCACCAAAATGATTACTCATTCATTTTTTGATTGTTTTTCACTTCCAAATCTGTATTGTTTAAAATTGTACATGTCTTTTACAACACAGTATTTTTTTAAATGTTCTCTAAATGTTAGTGTGCATTTTCCTGAAACTCAACCATGAATTATGAATTCGTCAATATAAGCATGTTCTTTGGTGCCTATGATACAGTACAATTCTGATTTTTGTCTAAGTGGGCTCCTTTTTCACAGTCTTACTGAGATGTGTACGTATTTGTCACTATCTTGGACTGTCTTTTCAGTTCACACTCTTTCCCAAGACATCTCATTATATTTTTACTTTTCTTGAGTCTTTATGAAAATACCAACTTTACCTTCAAGTCAAACCTCTCAGGTAAACTTGTTTCCATGCTTTCTCTCTAAAGATTCATCCAAAGATGATTCTTGGACCAATCTTAACTCTCTATCCTTTTCTTCCAAGGTCTCTTCCTTTTTCATCCTAGACAACCCAATTCTATTCTTTTCTTCAACTAACCATGACTTGCTAACCTTTGTGTAAGCAATCCCTCCTTCATTTAACACTTCTCAGCACAGCCTGTAGACTCCCACTCAGATGGTACATTACTGGGCTGGCTTCACTGACCTTTCTCAGGTCTGACTCAGGTCCATACAGCCCCTCTAACAAAATCCTACAGCATGTTTTCTTCATGGCTTGCCAGTAAAGACAGGAAGAGATCAGGGGTACTGGAGATCACCCATTGGCACTGAGCTTGGCAGAGAACAAGAGCTCAAAAGAGGTTTTGAATGACTCGATAAAGTCATAAAAGCTCATGACTGATTCTTAGCGACTCACTTCACATAACTACCTATGTGCAGTTGCGAAACCAATTCCAGATTTTATGTGAAACATGGATTCAATTATCCCTAGCATGTATTTAGTTGTTTTCTCAAAGTCCCAAGTTAAAAACCAACCGTGACATGTGTTGCTATATATACATTCAGCGTAGACTTAGTCAAATTCTGTCAGAATTTCAAAGTTACAATGTCCAAAATGCCTAAGTTTATGTAAAAATGTCTCTTCTAAGAACTCATTCTTAAGGAGTTTTTATTTGGCTGTTTATGCTATTTTATTTGACTAATTACAAAGAGGCAGTTTTTCCTTCATATATTTAGGGAGCCTTCTAAAAATAAGAATTGTCCCAAAAAGGAAACCTTAGAAGTTAATGAATTCATTGTCAGTGGGTTCTAATTAAAATACATCTTTCAGAGCTCTGTATTTTAAAAACCCTATTATTAATGAATTGATGGGTAAGAGGAATTCCAAAGTCACTGAGAAATCTCCTCACCTATATTCATATGAAATATGTATGAGGTGAGTCATTTTATTCCTTCTTCCTCCATGACCCACAGTGACTTCTATTAACTTTTGACATTTATAATTTTATATAACCTTTGAAAATTGACTCATCAGTCAGTCATTTTACACAACTAAATTATATATCTATATGCTTTTGTTTTTAGAAAAAATGAGCAGGCATATCTGTTGGATTTGTAAGCTATGCAGAGCTGAATCTAAGAGGTTCCCTTCCAAGTAAGTAGCTTTTAAACATCATGGCCATTTTAAAGAATTTTTAGTCACATGATAAAATAGGTGAATATATATTTAACTGTATTCTAAATATATTTTGCTGAGAAAGTAAAATTTCCACTTAGGCACAAGAAACCCCAGTAGAAGAGCAATTATGTTTCACACTAAAACTCATTTTCATTATTCGTGTATGCCCCTAAGAACTTGTCTAAAAACTTGGTGTTTTAGAGACCAATACAAATGTTCTTTTTAAAAGCAGCTTAGTGGTATAATATTAAAGGTAATTTTTAATCCAATATATTTCACAACTAAAACCTTCTTAAGAGGTTTCAGACACCTCCCTTTCTTTGTGGGGTTTGCAAGAATGGAACCCTAGCAAGCTCCAAATCTTTTCTGAACTCGGAGAAATTTGTTATATGTTTGTTTACTTCCTCACTTTTTACAGGGTCTGGTTATACAGGCTAGGCCACCCCTAAACTTTTGATCTTACTGCCTAAGCTTCTGAAGCACTGGATAAGTTACATTATAAAGATCCAGCTTTTTTCCACCTGAGATCTGCAGATAGATTAAAATGGGAAATACAACCAGAAGGGTAACAAACAATTGGATTTATCACAAAGAATCCACAGACTGAAGGCCCCTGTTAGATTAACCACCTACACCTAATCTAGGTCAAGTGGAGACCTCAATTCTGAACACATCCTTGTAGTCAGAGCTCTTGACCAGCCTGACCTTCCACTGAAGTAAGGAAGATTTCAAAAGGTTACAAGCTATTTCTTGGTGAAGAAAGGTAGCAGTAGTGGTGGGCTCTAAAGCCCAATGCTCAGCATTCTGGTGACCAGTTGAAGTTTGTGAACCATGCAGGTACACCCATGGAGAAAGATAGAATAGTCTGACTGGGACCAGCTTTGTTCCCCTGATGATCCTGATGTTCTATCACAATCTGAATGTGGATTTCCTGTAGTCTACCTTGTAGATCTTCCATTGAAAGGAGGAGCTCAGGAAAAGAGAATTCATAATATAGAATGCCACTTGGGGTCATGTGATAGGAACTTTTCATTCATAATAACGTTGTCAGATATAGAGATAATAACAAAACATAGGTGTGCAGATGTATTAAGTCCAGCATCAGGATTGGCTCCCCTACCCCTCAGACTCTAAGCAACAATGCCATGAATTTCAAAATGTCCCATGTCTGATTGCTTTTTACCACCTACTGTCCAGAAAAAAGGAAGTGATTCAAAACTGGAGAAAACTCAGGCTGATCTAGGGGCAAAGGTGTTTAAAATTAATCTTTGCATAATTCTGAGGATACCATCTTCATAGTCACAGGCCAGTATGAATCCTGTGAAAGGGAAAATAAGCAAAAGCAAAAATGAAGTTAAAACAACCCAATTTCTCTAATCATGGTCTGTATCTGAAGTCTCATAAATCTTGCAGGCAAAGGCATTCTCTTGGCAACAATTTCCCAACACAGTGATGTTGTCTCCCCTCACTGGAGATTTCAGTCTTCCCTCTGATGGGAATCAGTGACATAGAAAAGTATACAAGAAACCTGCCTTGCAGTTCCCACTTCAGTAGATTGAAAATATTAGTTTAGCTTATTTTTTCTGAAGTTCCAGTGAAAGAAAAGGACAGTGAGTGAGAAAGAGTTTTCATAAAAACGTTTTTGAGGGCGTTAAACACAGTGTACTCTAAAGCCAATGTGAAATTCTACATGGAGCTGGCAGGGGCATCAGAGCTGGTACAGGACTAATGCTGTTCTATGTTAAGTACAATCTTTTTAAATCTTTTTATTATGCTCAGAACCAATTCTGATGGTCATTTCTGAAGAACTAACATTCAGGCTGACTCTTACAAGTACAACGAGCAGGTCTTGCTCACATCTTCAGTTTTCTTAGATTACTCTGGTGCTAAAGGCAGGAAGACCCACGTGAAGCAGCAGCTGAGTAGTGATGAACATATTAGTGACTTTGATACAAGGAAATAAAGTTATTTGTATGTGAGAAAGTAGGGTCACTTAGCAGTCACCTCATAAAGCTCACCACCAGAAACAGAAATGGAGCCTTCAAGCAAGTACCTTTCACAGACATCTTTCAAGGGTGGTTTTGTTTATTCCGTTTAAGTTGAAGGTAACTTGGCATAGTCTACCTTCATGAATGTTAATGCCTTCAAGGTTCAATATATAAATACACACATATCAAATAAGAAAGTGCAAGCACAATAGGCAAGATATTGCATGAGAATAGTGTGCATAACTTTTGGAAATAAACCCAGCACTAATTAGGTCAGGGGTAGATGGGTGACAGTGGTGGAAAAACAGAACACAATCTTATAGAGGCAATGTGGGAATCTATGCCTGGAACTTTCAGTGTGTGCCTTTTATCTGTTTTCAGTTTGTTTCTATTAATTTACAAAATTACCACAGCTGCTTGGGCATGCAAGCTTGGCTGTGTGTAGTTTTAATGGTGAAAAAATAAGAAATACTCAAAAAATTTTGGACTATAAAAGCTCCAGAAGACCCCTTGTAGAATATTATACTATGTAGATTATCTACAGATGATTAATTTATATGTTAAGGAGTAAGACCATAGTAATCACATATAAAATGTGTCTAAGAAGGGCATATACACATGGAAACTATGTATGGAAAATATAATTTCTTAGTTAAAAACACAAACATAAACATAACAAAGGCTAAATCTGTCACATTTCTAAAAGAAATTTGGAAATGAGATTATACAACTATTGTTCCTATCATCAATATTTATTTTATATTCTCAAACATATACCGACTATATTTTTTAGAGTTTAAAAACTCAGTGAAAACTAGAATATAAAGAACCAAAGGTGCCGGGCGTTGGTGGCGAAGGCCTTTAATCCCAGCACTCGGGAGGCAGAGGCAGGTGGATCTCTGTGAGTTCGAGGCCAGCCTGGTCTCCAGAGCGAGTGCCAGGATAGGCTCCAAAGCTACACAGAGAAACTCTGTCTCAAAAACAACAAAAAAGAAAAAAAAAAGAACCAAAGGCAAATAGTCAGTGTAATTATATTTTGTTATTATTCTCAAAATAACATAGAATTATATAGTTCAGCAAAAACACCGACAGTAATTTAGCCTAATCAATGCTTTTGTTTCTTTTCAAAGCCTTACTTTGGAGGAAGTTTTAGGATGGGCCCAATCTTTGGAAAGTCTGATGGCTACAAAATGTGAGTATGATGTATATGTCATCTTAGAATAAGTGGCCTGTTTCATCCTTATGAGGAAATGGGGGGGTGCCAGATGACAAGTGTAAGCAGCTCTGCTTGCCACCTCCTAAATGGCAACTGACACAGTTAAAAAAGGAAAACCTGAAAATAGTTTGTCATGCCAACCACTGTTATTTTCTTTGGTGTTAATTAAAACAAGATTAGTCACTGTGGGTATTTATTCTTCACAAGTATATGTATAAAGCCCGTTGGGAATACGCTGAAATAGTAACACATACTGAAATATACTGCCTTCCCATAGCTTGCTAAAGTTAGTGCTTGGAAACTATTAAAAAGTTGCTGTTCTAAGTGCTTCCAGAAGTAAGAACCGGTTTGAGCCTTGACATTCTAAAATTCCTTGGGGTTCTTCAGTCTCTGATTGCAGTGGTTCCATGTGTAATGGAACCTGCCTGAGCATTCAAGTGACACAAATGAAAGGTCATATCGATCTAGAGAGATAAAAATATGAGTTTAGAAGTTCAATACAGTTAATACGAAGGATGATGGACACTCAGGGGAACTGTCTATCATGTTTGGAATAGAAAATGATAGGAAATAGAAAATGACTGAAACAGAAGACAAATGGAAAACAACAAAAAGTAGAGGATACTCAAAGAAAATTCCACTGAACTTAGTTCCTTTCTAACAGTGCTATCACCACTAAAATGTTTGCTAATTCTTGTCTGTGGGCTTGTCTCTTTATTGGGACTTCCCTGTGTGTCACTTTCTGTAAAGAACGATTTGTTCAGATGTCCTGACTGTGAACAGGAGTTAACCGTGATACTATGATGTTTTAATTAGTGGGTGTGTAGCGTTATTCTAGACTGAGAACATCCCAGGGGGATCTCTGTGTTCCTAGGACTGTACCTGCTCTCTATGTCTCAAGAACATTCTTTAGTAACACATCTGTTATTTCCTACTCACAGGGCAATAGTAGGAGGCGTGAACCCTTGACTCTTGGCTTTTTCTAGCAAAATTCTTTAGCCCCTCTAGCTCTGACTCTGAGGCTCCTTTGAAAGTGTTGTACATCTCCAGACCTGGGTACCATCTAATCATCCATTTTTAGTCATAAGCTGTTCCACTGAAAATGTACACATCATAGTTTATCTCTTTCTTTCATTTATTTGCAAGAAGGTTAGAACTATGCCTTTTACTTATGAAGGACCAGTCAACTAGAAAAACTAAGAAAGCAAACACTATATCTTCTAGAATAAGTGTGTTTAGACTAACAGACGACACTGGTAAAAATGTATCTGGTAAGCTATACACAAAATGCTATTGTTACAGAGTTTGAAACACAGCCTCTAAGAATATATAGATCATGAACACATGGGGATAAAATGCATTAATCTGAGTTCCAAGAGATGATAAGAAAATAACATAGGAAATGTTTGTTTTCCAACCATTAAGTAATAGCTATATTCAACACATTGCCATTAAATCCAAATGTTTTATAAAAAGTGGGTATTGGAAAGTACCAAGTTTGTGTAGTCATTTCTAGGAGAGACTGTTTCTGGGCACACTTCCTGGTATTCTGACTCTTACCATCTGTTTCCTGAGCCAAAGGTGCAGGAGCTGTGATGTGAATGTATCTGTTGAGGCTGTGTTGACTGAATCCTGTTAATATCTGTGTTGTATCCAGTTGGGTTTTCTTCCATCTGTTGTAAAGAAAGGCTTCTTTGATGAGGGGTGTTAGTGACACTTATCTGTGTGCACAATGGCAATATTTAAAATGTCATCCTTAGAATGGGAAGAAATTGTGCTGGCCTAGCAAAGTGCTTAAAAAAAAATAAGTACTTTTTTTAAGGTCTGTAGCCTCCCTATCCCAGGACATTGGCTACGTTTCCAGTATCAGGAATGATTTTCTTGCTGTTGAGAAGGAATTATGTCCAATAAGGCTGCTTTGGTTGCCACCAACATTTAAGTGCCACTTACTGTACCTTGATGCATTTCCTGCCAAAACCAGAACTATTTCAGTATCAATGGATATGTTAACATGGAAGGAGGAAAATGTTATGGGGTCTCATCCATAGGCAAAGAATCATAGACCACAAATAACTGATGAAAAAGGAGAAGTAGTCTCTACCAAGGATGAGCCCCTTATTGGTTTGTCCAAAGAAGAGTGATCAGCCTTGAAATCATATACACACAAGCAACAAATATGGACTCAGCAGTGTGTGTACATACATATGCATACACACATACATAGTGAATGTAATAATAATCAAAGAAAAAGAGGGAAATATGGGAGGGGTTCAAAGAAGGATAGATGAGCTGGGAACAGCTAGAGGAAAGGGAGAGTGGAAAGTAGTACAGTTCTACTTCAATTAAAAACATATTTCTGAAAAAAAAATAAGAACAAGGGAGAAGATGTCGAGAAAAGAACCATGACAAAGTTAGATGTTGATTCAAAATTAAGAATGTTTGTAACCTAGACACATTCCAGATGTTATTCAGTGATTCTCTGCTGGTAAACAAGTTTTCAAAATATTAACAATACTTTTAAAACTAATAAGTGTATATTCACTTACTGAGTCCATACTACGTTTGCTTTAGTTATCAGGCACAGAGAAAGAATGTTTTTTTTTCAAAATTTGAAAACCTTTTAAAAAAGAACACAATCACCATTCATGGTAGACTGTGGAAAAACAGAAAATAGTTATTAAACCAACTTTTACAAGCACCATGAATGGAATTCCAAAGGCAACAAAAATCCTTTTCAAAAATAATATCTTTTGACGAAAAATTCCTAAGGCAGTAGTTTAAATACAGGAAATTATTTAGGAGTAAGCCAGGTATAGATAAATGGATGGCTTTTAAATGAAGAAATGCGGTGTTTTGATTACTTGATGTTTGATGTGAAGGTCAGTGTCATTTAAAAATTATCCACAATGAATGAAGCAGGAAATAAGCTACAAATGTTAAAAGTCTATATATATGACTGAAAATTCATCTCAAACCTAAATTTTTAGAAAATGTTTTTTCAGAAGTAACAAGAATATAAATATTTCAGGAAAAATATCATCTATTCAAGAAACTAACTGAGACTTATGCAAGATTTTCCCCATAATTTGCCACTGAATCTAGAATTGTTTTCAAGGCATCGGGCTTTACCAACATGAAAATGGGATAAGTAGTTTTGTGGGTGTTCCTGGTAACTAACTACTGAGATTAGTAAAAGCAGAAAAGATACAGAAAGGAACATTTGAAATTATAGAAAACCAAAATCACTTAAAACCCCAAGACTCTTCAAACAAGAAAGGAAAGGTTCAAACTTCTTAAAATAAAGAGAATCTATAAAGCCAGAAAATGCAAAAGATGCATAAATACATTACATATATTAACCAATTTTCTTTTTGTCTTTTTGGTGATTGATTCCTTTTTTATTATTTCTTTAATTTTTTGAGATTATAATGTAGTTACATCGTTTCTCCCTTTATTTTACTTCCTCCAAACCATATACTCTCCCCCTTTATTTCTTTCAAATTCATGGTATCTTTATTGTTACACACACACACACACACACACACACACACACACACACACTTCTAAATGTATAAACACAAACTGTTCGATTTGTGCAATACTACCTGTGTGTATGCTTTCATGGCTGACTGTTCGGTTTTAGATAACCAATTTGTTAGTTTGCTGTTCCCTGGGAAGGCTGTGTCTCCAGCTTTCAGCATTCTTTGTTGTCTGCAGTTCTTTGCCTAGAGTTGAGGCCTCATGGACTTTCCCCCATCAAGTTTAGCATGTCTGTTGTTGTCCTTGCTCAGCTCATGTAGAAGGAGCCATGCTGGTGAGACTTTATGAGTGTAGCTTCTGAATTCCTAGGAGATGCAAAATCCCTCCGGCTCTTTCTGCTACCTCCTCTGAAATGATATCTGACACTTAGGTGTGGGAATTGTACTGTAGATGTATCCACTGGGACTGGGCTCCAGAACTCTGCATTTTGAATGGTTGTGGTTTTCTACAGTGACATCTGTCTGCCTCAAAGAAAAGTTTCCTTGATGAGGGCTTGGGACTACACTTATCTGTGGGTATAAGCACAAATATTTAGGATGCAGATAAAAATTGGGCTTGTTTAATAAAGTAGCAATTGTAGTTTCTCCTCCAAGATCCATGACATCATTAGCCCTGGGTAATTGGCTAGGTTTCCAGTACCAGGCATGATTTCTTTCTTGTCTTGTGGCTCATAAATCCAATTAGAAAGATGTTGGTTATTGTCAAGGTATGTGTTACACTACTGCCACCTTAGAATTATCATGCTGCATGATCATTGTTCTGTCTCATAGGTGTCATAGCTGGGTAGGACTGTGAGTAGCTTCCCTCCTTTGGAAGCTTGTGTGGTACCCTCTTGTACCATGAAAGCCAGTCTTTGGGGAGGTCTTGTGTCCATAGTATATGGTGTTTTCAGCAATAGAGACCTTCCTTCTATCTCTGGGAGCAAACTAATTTTCAAAGGGTAACAGTGGCAGTTATTCACTGATATATTTTGTTTTATACAAATAAAAAGATCACTTGGATGATTCAAACAATCGGACCAAAAATCTGGGGGACAACTTGAGGGTGGAAATGAGATGCACCCAGCCCACATACCCCATTTAAACAGAGGATACAAAGAACAAGCAAACTAATAGATAATTGCATAAACTAAGTGCTTTGAAAAAATAAAATCAAGTGATATGGAAAGAAGACAAGACTAACAATAATTCAGCTGAGAATTGTTGACAGAGAACAAAACTGTCAGAAGGATTATAAAGGCCAGAAACTCTGACAGAGAATAAAACTGTCAGAAGAAATAAGATTTGAACAAAGAAATGAGTCATAAGAAGCAGACATCTGTGCTGAGGTCTTTGGATATGAAGCTAAGTAGCAGGAAAACATCTGAAAGGTCCAATGATGTGAGATTGGTGTCTGCAGATAACTGAAAGAAAGTTTACTATGTCGGCTGCATGGTC